AGAGGATGAAGAAGGAAGATGAAAAGGAAGAGAAGAGAGAAAATGGGAGTCTTTTATATTTGAAGCCTGGCCCCTTCCCAATTAGGGAAAGTAGCAAAATAGCCTACCTCCGACATCCAAAACAGTAACACAACAGAATGACTTACGTGAAAGATTACGAAACTGACAAATGTCAGTGGACAGCAATCAAGACCCGTATCAAGACCAAGGCTAGATTGACTTGCTAATGTCACTATCACGCAGGCTATGTACATGAATTCCCAATACTGGAGATTGGAAGCTGGATGGAGAAAGGTGGTCCACATGAATTCGGATCCAAGTCTTGAGACTGGAAAAATAACATGAAGTGCATAAACATAACAACATTGAAACTTCTGGAGTCTGCTAGTAGGGGAATATCCAAATCCAACATCAATCCGGTCACATCCTATCAACACACCAACACCAGCAGCTACAAGTAGAGTCGCGAGATTCTGGGTTCCTTTGATTTGATTCCTTCTGTACCAGTACCAGTTGCCCTCTGGTCACTCCTGTGCCCGTTTTCAGTGACGACACAGGCTGGAGGGGGGTACAGGGTGTCCGGGTCTGATCCAAGAGCACAGGCAAAGTGTGGAGATAAGAGAAGAGAACCACGGGCCATTCATCCTGGCTGATAGAAGTGGGGAGATGGAAGAGTCCACTACCAGTGAAACTGGTATCAAAAGACAGGTAAAAAGAAAAAACGGCCGGTATTTGTTGGACGATTGTTCGAGATGAATCAAAAGAGAGATGAGCGACAAAGAAAAGAAAAAAAAAGGCAAATCATTGGAAATGAAAGAAGAAAATGCACGGGATCAGCCGTAGGGAACTGGACTTCATACTGAGAGGTATCAATGAATTGTTGCCCGTACAGAAAAGGCAAGGAATTAAGTAACCACATCCACAAGTAATAATAGTAATAGTAGAAAGAAAGGAAGAGAGGCCAAGAAAACTCGTAGGTCACAGTGCACTAATCTCGAATACAGAAGAGCCCCGGTCAGTCCAAGCAGTCCCTGGTATCAGTTGGTGGATGCTGGCTTCTTAAAGCAAGGGAAAGGGATAGGAGAGGATGCGGTGGACAAGATGCACCAATGCCAATCTCACAACAGCACATGCGCAGAACACACATATCCAGATAATTGGGAGACAAGAAGAAAACAGAACAGATCGAGTATCCGCGAAAACGCACTAGAGCAATGATCAAATGTACAAACAAGGGTATATCGGAGGTGAAGCACCTGAGGAACCGTCAAGACTTTTACACGTTCACAGGCCGTCACCGGCACCTGTCTCAACACCATCGGCTGAATAGGATATACTAGGGTCGAACCCAAATCCAGTGGCGTCGGCATCCGTGTTGAGGAATGTGTCAAAGTCGAAGTTCTCCAGAATGTCTGGATTTTCCAGTGCGCTGAAGTCAAGGTTGAATGCGGAAGCCTTTGACAGAGTCAGTAAGTGTATACTGGTAGCAGATAACTTGGTAGATGAACATACATCAGGAATGCTGAGGTCAGTAAAGGATTGCTGTTGGTCAGTGGGCTGCTGCACCATGTTCTGAGGAGCTGGTGCCGAGGTAGGCTGTGTCGGTTGAGCTGGTCCGTTCGCTCCATTAACTCCATTCTTAGGATTGAAAGAGCTCGGATGCTGCGGCGTGACGGGAGTGGATGGAGTTGGGGGCTCTGCGGCATCGGTGGATGGAGTCGCGCCTGCGGCCGCACTGGCAGCAGCAGCAGCAGCTTGCTTCTTGTTAGGTCGCTGGAATTCAAGTTAGCGGACACAAGATTACAGCAGCATTTGAGAATTTACGAACCTTGCGGGTGTCCTTAGCTTCCTTTTTGCCCTTGGGTGGAGCTTTAGTAGTCTGCTGAGGCGTTGGTGGTGCGTTCCCAGCCGTCTGAGGTGACGCCGGCTGGCCACGCCCAACGTTAGGACCGGTGAGGGGCGGCGCCGAGGGCGGAGGCATCGCGCTTCGTTCCTGCGGGGTTCCAGCCTGGGGCTGGTTCGCAGGCGAGTGCTGCGGAGGCATCTGCTGTTGTCCTGGCTGCCATTGTCCACCAGGCATACGCTGGCCGGCATTGGCTGGAATCGGCTGACCCATTTGAGCTCCAGTGAAAGCAGGGTTGGAGCTAGGAGGTCGCATATTCGGACCAGAGAAGAACTGAGCTGCCATCTCTGGGGGTATCGGACCACCGTTGAGGTTCATGGACCCCGGAGATCCACGTTGGGACATGTCGCCGGCGCTTGGCGACCCGGGAAGTCCAGTCGGAGGCATCTTAGGCGTGCCTCGTTTCATTTGGTCGCTGGGATTGGGAGACGCGCCCGCCCTGCTGCCCGGGGAAGTGCCTGGCGGCAAAACTCCCTGGCCGGGCATCGAGGGCTGGCCGTCAGCGCGGGCCATGCTATCTTGCTCTTGACGAGCCATCATCAAACGCCGCTTATTCTGCTGTTCAAGCAGCATAAGCTGCATCTGATAATCTTGAAGGGCATGGTTACCATGCTGACTGCCAGGTGTCTGTAAACTACCGGGTCGGACCTGGGCTAGTTGACCATTTGCACCGTAGTACTCAGGACCACCGGCCATAGGATACATTCCTTGACCATCCGGCATCGGCACCAGATCCGCCTGATTCGCCATAACACCGGGATTCATCATGCCACCATTCGGGATACCCTGGGAATTCGATGCTGAGCGAGAGTGATGAAGGGCCAAGTTTTGAGCATATACCTGCATAGATTTCTGTTGCGCAGCTTGTCCTTGGAACTGCTGGAATTGCGCCGGAGTCATTCCCCTCTGCATTCCGTTCTGCATCATTATAGCCTGCGGGTTGGGCTGTCCTGGCATTCCTTGTCCCTGTCCGCGGCCATTTGGTGCCAGCTGCTGTCCGTTGACAGAGCCTTCAAGACGTGGGCGTTTCGACGGCGAGGGGGCGTTATCGGCGGAGGCTGGTGACTGTGGTCGATGTCCACCCATCTCCATGTCCGGATCCCGCTGCATTTGCTGTATCATTTGCAAATGCTGGGTTTTCTGGTACTGAGCCATTTGTTGTTGCTGTTGCGAGCTAGAAATAATCCCATCAGCACGTCCACCCCAAACTTGACACTCAACATGGGGAAGAAGATGTTCCGATAGAGCATACAGTCCAGTGGTATTATTCTGCAGCACTGTTTTCTGCAGGTTAGGAGGCACCATGCCATTCTGTCTCCGGAGCTGGTTCATCTGGCCGGGCATCATGGGCTGTGGCCTCATTAATTGATTCTGGTGGCTTTCTCGCAGACGCATCAAGTTCTAAAGTTCAAGATTAGTCCACGATCCACATCCCCGACACGAACAACCGTTCACGCACCTGGTTATGCTGAAGGTATTGCCGAATATCATTGCTATTTCCCTTCTTACGTTGAGCCCAGAAGAACTCCCAGAAAAGGCTGAACCAGTCAAGGAGGAATGAGGAGGGGCTTTCATTGGGAATAGTTGGACGAGGGAGATCATCTGGGATCTTGATCTTCTCACCATCCTTCCCATCGGTCATCATAGCATCAGGGTCCATACCATTGACGTCGCCATCACGCCGATTACCTGGACTCGTCTTTGGGTTATTGTCGGTGTTGAGTTTGATGTTTTCATCTTGCAAGAGAGCGCGGGCGCAGTCGTGGTACCCACGCTTCAAAAAGTAATCATAGATATAGGTGTTGAGGTTGTTTATCATGATTTCGGGGTTGTTCATAGTGCCGTCATTGCGAGAAGCCGTGGATCCGTTGTTGATCATAGGAACTCCACCCACAGGGCCCCCAGCCCCGGGGTTCATCCCGATATTCATTTGGTTCATGGTGGCGAACGGTGGGACTGCAGCCACCCTTGCCTGTTGTATCGTAAGTTTTCAAATCGGATGTAAGCAGCTTCCGACGCGCGACCTCCGTTTCAGGCTATGAAGCCTAACGCGGGGTGATAGAAGCGACGCGTGGGGATTGATGCGGAGGCAAAGCAGTCAGCGCTTTCGAAAGAATATCGAAGACTCGTGGGAACGCGTGTGCGTAACAGCGCAAATCAAACGGGTATAAGATCGCAGAATATGAGCGGGTTCAAGATCACCGGTGGCGTCTTCTTCCGGAAAAACCACGCGACGGAGTAGAAACGAGAGGATGGAGGCTCAGAGGCTCGGAGGCGCAGACGAAGTATGCTCGGTGTCTCTGACTAGAGAAATTGGTGAGCACTTGCCAGAGCATTAAACACTTCAAATGGCCAAATACAGGGACGAGTTCGCAGTCTATATGTGCGTAGACGATAACGGAGGTACAAGGAGGTGGAAAAAGCGCACAAGTGAGGTGGTTGGTATGGGGGGGGGGCGGCGCCAGACACCCGATCGGGCAGAATCGCGGACAGGAGATCACCAAGCCCGTGTACAAAGAAAAGGGAGTCCCAAAGACAAGAAACGGGGGGATAAAGAGCAAATTAAGAATGAAAAGGGGGAATCTAACGGATGTGGATCTCACAGTGTGAAGAGGAGGACGGACTCAGTGAGAGGGAACCGGGGGGACGTACATTGACAGGCGCTGCGCTCTGCGGGAGAATCGCTTGTTCGGAGCGGATCAACCTGGTCGGAGGTCGGGGCTGGGGATGGCGCTGTCAAGCGTATTTCTGGGAATGCACCGATCTGATAACCATTGAAATTGCGGTCTGTGACACAAAAAAAAAAGAACATGAGTCAGCAAATCAGCGAGAAATTTATGGGAGATCTATGTGGAAATAGGGTGGTTTATACGGATAAGAGAGGAAAAATAGAAGCAAGAAGGAAAGTCAGAAGGGTGATATGATACCTGATGGGCCCTGCGATGGATCCCAGCGGGAGTCTAAAAAGTAAGGTAAGCCACTATTTCGCGACCACCACAAAGGCTGTATTTACCGAAGGTCGAGCGACGTAGGAGAATTGAACAAATTTAAGAGGAGAATCAATGTCTGTGGAAAAGTCCTGTCTAGGTAGAGGTTGAGAAAAGATGGAAAGGAGGGAGATACGATCTGTAAAGAGTTGAGGGGCGGCGGAGATGACAAGACAAAACCAGTATGGCCTTACGTTTGTACCATACAGTACTTGACAAATACACAGCCTTGGATGTTCCGTAAACTGCTTTTTAGGTGCCAACAGTGACAACATATACTTGACCAAACTGCCTATTTACCTTACAATACAGGTTTGCTTATAACCATACAGATCAAGCTCCTGAGCGGCAGATTCGCGGATCTACACGCATAAAAAGGGAAAAAAAAGGGAGATCATGCGATTCCTATGGACTGATCGTAACTTAACCACAAACCTTGCCCTAATCCCAGTTCTTCTACGGAGTACGGAGCAGATCGAAAGATTATGATCTACCGCCTATGCCAGTGAAAAATCGCGTGGTTCAGGATATATCATAACCCTAATTTACTGAAAGACAGGTGTGCCAAAAAAATGATAGTCGGAAGTAATAGTAACGAATCAGGGCCAAAAAAAAATCCCATCCCTCTAAAAGACATAACCAATGATGAACCCCAGAAACGCCCATTCTTCAAGTAGCGTAAAATGCACAAGATCTCGTAATGTTATTATTCTTCCTCCGGTGGCATCTCATCCTCAATGTATCGTACAAGGGAGACCCGCATCTCTGTGGTGTCATCTCCGCGCAGCACGTCACTGACAAAGTGCGCCTCGATCTGCATTTGGACCTAGAAGCCGGGTCAGCGATCGGACCCAGAACAAGGGAACCCACTCCATTTGACTGGTAGCTTACCATCTCCAGAGACCCTCGGAGGACGCCACACAGAATGTTGGAGAACCATAGCTCATCCTGAGCCCGCCCATCATCGGGAAGCTCCACAAAGTCCGCCAAGGGGTTGTCTTCAAAGATAAGAGAGAACTGGGTGTTGTCACTCGTCCAGTTTGTGACTATAGGTGTGACGTTCAGAAAGATCTTAAAGCCAACCTGATCGGGTTGTCAGCCATAATAGCTTTATTATCTCCATCTTCTTAAGTGAATACCACCTTCGCGATCATGTCAGCAGTCTCCCGGAAGTTGACGCATCGGCCGACACCTGACTTGGCCAGGAAGTCTTCAATGAGTCGCATGCCGATGTTGTATCCCATCTTGTCCAACTGCTTGTTGACATCCTGGTAGTTGCTATCGTAGTCTTGGCATAATTGTGCGACAATTGTTCCGTAGGTTAATGTGACCAGCTCCGCGTTGACTTTATCGACTCTTGTTCTGTGCACATGAAAGCCGATTAGTTCGGGTTCGAGGACGGAGACACAACGAAGTCAATTTTTCATGGCTTCTCGGTCCTAGTTTTCGGGCACTGGGGCGTACTAACTTCCATATTCTGTTCGAGGGTCATTGATTAGCAGAAGGTCCACTGGATAAGCCATCCGGCCTTGGGAGTCCACCTACTCTTCTCCTATTCTTGAGGCTTTCGTCGACGACATCTTTGAGATTATGCTTTGATAGCTCTGATTGTAGGCAGAAAAGGAAAAGACAAAATTTCCAGGCAAGCACAGGCAAATGTGACTGTCAACTGTTGATCAGGGTGCTTGTGGGGATTCCACAGATATTGGAGTTGCTGATTGTACACGTCGTGCTACAGCTGACGAAAGCGACCATGTTAAACTTTTCCTTGATTGGTTTATCTCACTCGCCGCTTTTCTCTCCGCTTTTCACTGTGTGTTGTTGTACGTGGTGAGTAAGGTGACTGAGCGTGCTGTTTTCTGCCGGACAAAATCAACTCAAAACGATCAAGTCTCGATGGTCGCTTTCATCTGCTGGACACAGCCCGCTCACCGCCGACACCAAGTGGGATTATCGTTCTTCCCGCAGCGTCTCGCCCTGAACTTTTGCTATCACTACTTTCGCCCGAAGACGCGATTGGTCACCAATCAATTCTTTTATTTCTCCAAACTCACCGAGGCGCTTGCTGTGACAATGTCTGGTGAAAAGCGCCCTGCTCCAGAGGGGTTTGGGACCTCGCACCAGCTCGTGGTCAAGCGAAACAAGGCCGCCGAAAATGCAGGAACCGAACTCGTAAAGAGCTCTTCCCAAAATGGAGCTCTCATTCAATCTGTATGCGCTAAATTCGCCCTCGAAGTCCAAGGGGCTTTCCCGGAGCATAGCCAGCTAATTCCAGTCTACAGGTTCCTCGCACAAGTGGTTTAGATGCTCCTATCATGGAGCTCACAGGTGAGGAACTGCCGCCAATATGTGTCGCTACACACGCGCTAACAGGAGGAACCTACTAGGTCACTCTGGTGAAGTCTTCGCAGTTCGATTCGACCCTACCGCACAACACATCGCATCTGGATCCATGGATCGTTCCATCTGTACGTCCCATCTTTTTCTGAGAATGCGGCGGCCGATCATGTCACTGATCGAGATTCTTTGAATAGTGCTGTGGAACACATACGGACAATGCGAAAATTACGGCCAATTGACAGGTCACCGGGGAGCTGTGTTGGATCTTCAGTGGTCACGCGATTCGCGGGCACTGTTCTCGGCATCCGCAGATATGACCCTCGGGAGCTGGGACGTCGAGACCGGAGAACGAGTACGCCGTCACGTGGGCCATGAGGAAATCATCAACTGTCTTGATATCAGCAAAAGAGGACAAGAGCTTCTAGTCAGTGGTAGTGATGATGGGTCCATCGGCATCTGGGATCCTCGGCAGAAGGATGCTCTGGACTACCTTCAAACTGAACTCCCAATTACCGCAGTGGCATTGTCCGAAGCAGGCAATGAGATTTACAGTGGAGGTATTGACAATACCATCCACGCCTGGGATATTCGAAAGAAGGCCATAGTCTACTCGATGGCTGGGCACACAGATACCATCACATCGCTACAAATCTCGCCAGACTCACAGACATTGCTGTCGAACTCTCATGACTCTACTGTCCGTACATGGGACATTCGTCCTTTCGCCCCTACCAACCGACAAGTGAAGACCTACGATGGCGCTCCTGTCGGACTGGAGAAGAACCTCATCCGTGCCAGCTGGGACCTCAAGGGCGAGAAAATTGCTGCTGGCAGTGGTGATCGAAGCGTGGTTGTTTGGGAGGCTAAGACTGGTAAATTGCTGTACAAACTTCCTGGTCACAAGGGCACTGTCAATGACGTGCGCTTCTCCCCCAATGATGAACCGATCAGTGAGTCTCCACCCTATTTGCGAGCTAACCCACAACTTCTAACATTGTCCCAGTCGTTTCCTGCTCCTCCGATCGCAACCTGGTACTTGGAGAGCTGGGCAAATAAACATAAAAGATAGGTATTAATGTTTTAATGAAGATCAGCGGGCGTCAAATTCCTTTTTTTTTAAACATGCCATGTGCATTGGCTCCTGATCTGGACGTTTGCGCTATGTTAGAGAGCATCTTCTGGCTTTCAGCGGCGACTTGTCCAGCTATGCATCCGGATCTATGAATTGTACAATTAGAACTAAGTTTTACAGCAATCCTGCTCTTGGACATGTCTTGTCTACAAGTCTACAAGAACAGTCTTATGCGGCCTCTCTACTGGGTTGACCTTAGGACTGTGTAGATGACAAACCATTCTGCTAGTTGGAGATTATACCAAATATCTGTGGACTACTGTGATGCCTTTTCCAGCATCTTTTTCTAATGCCAGAACAATTGGCAAACTGTAGAATCCAGCGAAAAGCACTAGATAGAAGGGTATACTTTCTGGGCTACACCTATCTGAAAGGTTGCTAAAGTACTTGAAGCATGCAAAGCGTTCAAAATCTACATAAAGATTAGAAACCCTTAATTTCAACATCTCTAACCCAACCTTTTTTTTAATATGCAACCTTCTATAATTTGTACGGACATACCATGAAGAATGGTGCAAAAAGCGGGAAAATAAAGGACTCCCCAGAGGCTTATCTGGCCGAATCCCTTAACTTCCCACTCCACAACAAGAGGGTGACCCATTTAAAACAGTCTCTTTTCAGAGAGGCCTTAAATAAAAGGCCTTCTGGCGCTCCATCCATGAACCTTACGGCGCTCAGATCTGCTCGAAGCGCACGCGACGGAGGTAATGTTCAACCTCCGCTCCGCCTGGATGGTGGTTTGGGCCATCTTGTTATGGCTCGCTGTCGTTCATGGCATGCGAAATAGCCAAGTCAAAGAACTAAGGTATAACTACCCTTGGTTCTCTTCAAAAGACCATAACTTCAAACTAATACACCCCTGTCCTCCCGCAGACAAGAAACTGAGCGCATGTTCTTCCATGGCTTCGAGAACTACCTCCAATACGCGTTTCCCGAAGACGAATTACGCGCCCTCACATGCGGCCCTCTTGTTCGCGACGAGAAGAACCCGGAGAATAATGATGTGCTGGGGAATTATTCTCTGACCTTGATTGACAGTTTATCGACGCTGGCCATCCTATCCTCGAGCCCGGACAGTGGCGAGCGAGCCTTGGCGCATTTCCAGAATGGTGTCGAGGGATTTGTTAGGCTGTATGGTGATGGCTCGGACGGCCCTGCTGGTCAGGGTGAGCGGTCGAGGGGCTTTGATCTGGATAGCAAGGTACAATTGTTCGAAACTGTGATCCGGGGACTGGGTATGACATCCCCCTTCATGACTTATCAATCTGTCACATGTGCTCGACTTCTGGCTTTTCATATCCTCCCGCTAAATTGCTTTAGGTGGATTGCTCAGTGCCCATCTTTTCGCCGTCGGCGAGCTACCCATCATCGGATACGAGCCATCGGAACGAGAGGCCGCCTTTGCCAGCGCTTGGGATAAAAGTATGTTTATAGAATGTGACCACGGCATTCGATGGTCCAATGGCTTTGTTTATGATGGCCAACTACTTCGACTTGCTGTGGATCTGGCCCACCGTTTGCTTCCCGCATTCTACACAGAGACGGGCCTTCCCTACCCTCGGGTCAACCTACGCCACGGGATCCCATTCTACGAGAATGCGCCTTTAAATCTGAAGGCACGAGATGCTGAGGGCAAGCGCAAATCTAAAACTACGGCATCTGAGCCCGCTGAAACTTGTAGCGCTGGTGCAGGTAGTCTGGTCCTTGAATTGACCGTCTTGAGCCGACTCACTGGTGATGGGCGGTATGAGGACCTGGGTAAGAGGGCTTTTTGGGCAGTCTGGAACCGCCGGAGTGACATCGGACTACTTGGATTTGGCATTGATGTGGAGTCTGGGAAATGGGTTGGACCATGGGCCGGAGTAAGCAGGATTTCTTTTGACAGGTACAAGCATGAACTAATTGTCAGTAGATCGGCGCCGGTATTGACAGCTTCTACGAGTATGCCGTCAAAGCTCATGTTCTTCTCTCTGAGGGCGAGCGTCTGCCTTTCAACCCAGACAGCCCTTGGGCGGCATTGGACTCGTACTATACTCCTCTGACGGACTACCAGAATACCGCCGAGGCCTTCCGACAAGTTTGGGAAGAATCGCACACCGCAATCAACCGTCACCTATTCCGAGGTGAAGGTTATCAACATCCCCACCTTATTGTGGGAGATGTGATCACCGGTGCCACGAGAGCGTTTTGGATCGATAGCCTAAGCGCTTTCTATCCAGGAGTTCTTGCCCTGGATGGAAAGCTAGACGAAGCTATTCAGATTCATCTGCTGACTACTGCCATTTGGACACGCTACTCGGGCATCCCTGAGCGATGGAATGTGGCTACTGGTGACATTGACAACGGTATGCCATGGTATGGAGGTCGGCCCGAGTTCATCGAGTCCAATTACTACATTTATCGCGCAACTCAAGATCCTTGGTATCTGCATGTTGGAGAGATGGTTCTCAGCGACCTTAAGCGGCGTTGCTGGACCAAGTGTGGCTGGGCTGGTATTCGGAATGTTCTGACTGGCGAGCTCATTGACCGGATGGAGAGTTTCTTCATTGGAGAGACAGCCAAATACCTCTATCTGCTATTTGACCAGGACCATCCATTGAACAAGATCGATGCACCGTGGGTTTTCAACACCGAAGGCCATCCTCTCATTATTCCGAGAAAACCGGCATCTGCGCCTCGCCAGCAGCAAAATCCACCTCAGGGCCAGGACATCGCCGGGGGAGTATGTCAAATCATTCCTTCTCCATTCTTCGGTGTGTCCTCCACTGCATCCCGAACAGACATATTCCATGCTGCCAACTTGGCACGGCTGGATCTGATGCCTGACCGAGGAGTGGCCGCAGGCCCTATTTTGCAAGACTCTCCTGGACATCAAAGTGTTTTTGTGTCTGACCTTTTATCACCAACCAACTATACATTCTACCCATGGACGCTGCCACCTCAACTGGTCCCATTCAATGCCACCAGCGCGCCGATGGCCGTTCGGCCCACCCTCGACATCTCTTTCCCATCACTCCCAGGCGGGGTAAACATGGGACCTGGAGCGCTGGAACGTGTCCAAGACGGGGTGCTTGTTAAAACAATTGGAGGACTCCGATTGAGCATGGTTCAGGATGTACGGTTGGAACCCCCGACGGCTACGACTGGGGAAGAGGAAGACGGGTACCGGGTACAGGTGATCAACAATGTGCCACTAGGCAAAGATGAGAAGGTATACCTCTCTCGCCAAATCACCTTTGATGTGGTCGATCCGTACGATCCGAACTTCACCCGTGTTCGTGACAACGCCATGCTTGACCTCGTCATTGACGTTCTCCCAGAGCCCTCTCGCCGACGTAATGATTCGGCTCATCCACGAGATGAAGAAACTCAACCAGAGAGTCCACGCCCGCCAGAGCCCCGTCTCGCAGGCCACGGCCCCGCCTCCTCTGTCGACGATGCCGCAATTGTCGACTCCCCGGACTCAACAGTAAGAGCCATGCTATCGTCTCTGATGCACTCGGTGTCCTCATTGCTTCACAACGAACCCACCGAACCTGCTCCACTCAGGTTGACTCTCCCCGCTGCCATCTCTTCCGGCATCGGGGCTAGCCCGCTTCCAGATATTGAAGATGCAGTTACTATGTCCTTGCTCGGCGACCCTGCCACAGACCGCCTGTCGTGGTCAAATATTTATTTTGCCGGCGAGCTCTGCAACAAGGGAATCTCCCGTGAGGTCGCCCATACCCACGAAGTCCTTGTTATCAAACGTGGCAGCTGCACCTTCTCGGAAAAGCTCCGCAACATCCCCGCATACCGACCAACGCGATCCGCGCTGAAGCTAGTTGTTGTCGTTTCATATGATGACATTCCACCACCCGACTTTCACGGGCAGAAGAGTGAATCAACGGATCAATCTGGGTCTCGCTCTGCCCTCGCCGCCGTCCGCGCCGAGCCCACTCTCATCCGTCCATACCTCGATGAAGCCCAAATGACAGCCAGCGGCATTCCGCGAAACTACCTCATCGGCATGGTCATGGTCGGCGGCGGAGATGAAACATACGAACTCCTGCGCCATGCAAGCGGCATCGGAGTCAAGAGACGATATAGCATGCGCTCCCGCGGCGTCCCAATCACGAATTTACACATTGTTTGAATGTTCAGCAGATATACTATACCATTTTGGAAGACTCTCGAATCGCTTGTGGCGCTTGTTTCATGTTTCGCAGATGTACATAGGTCCAGACGTGTATAGTCAAACCTCCGGTTCATCGATAACCGAGCTGGATTCATTTGATCACAAATCTACATTCACCATCCAACCCTAGTTCTAAACATATTTCACGCCTTTCAACTCAACAGCCTCGATCTATCCTCCATCTCAACCTGAATCTTTCTCCCCAGACTCAACCGCCCTCCTAGCCCGCCATCTCGGGACTAACCCTCTCATCCCTCATCCTCCGATCAAGATCATCCATAGAAACCCACTCGCTCAAAATCAACGTCAACAATCTACGCCCTGACAAACCCCCACAACAGGCAAATCCACCCCAAACTCAACCACCAGCAAGTTGCTTTATCATCTCAGTCTCACAGTGTAAGATCAAATCACATCTCCCACCTAACAAGTTCAACTGCGGTCAGTTCGATGGTCTTTCCATCCGGGTTTCTTCCCTCGCCCAAATTCCTCACAGGAACGATCTGTAAAAGATGAGGTGCTGTCCCACGCAGAGTCATCCAATCCCACATCGCTAAAGAGCTGCTTGGGCCACTCATTATTACCACTCTCCACACCACAGATTCCCAAGAAGGTTGAAAGTGTAGAGTATCTCCATGTCTGTAAATTCAATTTCTGGGGAGGATTAAGTCTGCAGAAGTGTGACCTGGCTATGTTCATTGGGTTCAATCTCTTTAGGATTCGCTGCATCTAGAACTATAGTGAACAAGGCAAGATGCTTATTTCCTTGGGTTCCTCTACCTATGCCACTTTTCGATTCTTCATTTCTTCAATTCTTCGATTGTTCGATTGTTCGATCTATCATCTAACGCAAAGACAGTGAGATGGGTTCATAACTCCAACGTCTGTAGAATTGGATGGGGGACAAAGAAACGCAATCGCAGCTAAAAGCGTATGCATCTGCCCTGTACGGACTCTTGACGCATTCCAACCTCTTCTCGTCTCCCTTCAATATCTAAATACAGACAATACTTCATGATCGTCATCAGGGGAAAAACAAATGCCTTCCGACCCAACCATCCTCCAACCAGCAGAAAGACACACCCAAGTCCCAATCCCCCCGCCAATCACAAAACCACCTCAATACCCAGATTACCTCTACTTCGCCTACGGCTCCAACCTCTCCCCATCTCAAATGAAAGCCCGCTGCCGTATAAACCCTACCCACTCCGCCACCCCGGTAGCGATCGCAATCCTCCCACAATGGCGCTGGTTAATCTGCGAAGCGGGCTACGCAAACGTTCTCCCACCGCCTGGTCGACGCGTCGCGAATCAAGACTCCGAGACCGCACAGAAGATCCCTATTTCTGGGTCCGAAGATGCGGTCTACGGCGTTCTTTACCAGATGGATGTTGGCGATGAGAGGATTCTGGATGGTTATGAGGGCGTTGATACAGGTGCTGCTGGTGCGGGAGCTGAGGATGGTGTGCCCGTGTCGATCAGGCCTCGAGTGCAGGGAGATGGGTCTTATAATAAGTGGGTTGTTGAGGCGGATGTTGTGATGTGGGTTGGATGGGACGGAGGGGGTTAGGGCGGGGCTGGAGGATGAGGGGAAGGTACCGGTGTTGGTTTATGTTGATGAGACTTGTGTTAGGCTGGCTGGGCCCAAGTTTGAGTACATTGCAAGGATGAATCGGGCGATTCGGGAGTCTGTAGCTTTGGGAGTTCCCGCGGAATGGGTGGAGGATGTTATGAGGAAGGTCATTCCTAGGGAGTAAAATTACTAGATTTGATATATTGATGAGATGGATGCATATAGAAGCCTTGTCAATCCTTAGTCACGTCGGGGTAATTGCTAGACGGCTACTCTAGATACAATAAGTGAGATTAGCCAGTTTAAACAAAGATCAAGTTGCATTGATAAGAAAGCTATTTGTCTATGGGATATTATCCGGACAGCTCTGCGCCAGCTGTAGCGGGTGCCGTCGACCAGCGAAACGGGGATCCAGACTCAAAGTTCGAGTCAGTTGTTTGATTGGGCCCGGGAGGAGCGGATGACAGACGCTCACCGCAAGATCGGGTGTGGTCGGGCTTTTGAAAGGATGGGGTCATTATAATCGGCAGTTGGGATCATCGCAGAAAGAAATGAGAGGTTTTTTTTTTCGAGGCGGTTTAATTTAAGCCTGGCCAGAGAGGAGAGTGTAAACCGGCGCAGGGAGCTTGTCGCGTCCGTGCAAGAACTCCAGTTCGAGGAGGAAGATGAAGCCGAGGAGCTCGCCGCCCATCTTCTGAATCAGCTCACCACCGGCCTTGGCGGAGCCACCTTAAAATAGGGTTTCAGTATGAAGCATCCACTTGGAGGTTCTCATCGCATACCAGTAGCAATAATGTCGTCAATGACGAGGACCTTCTGGCCGGGCTTGATAGAATCGGCCTGCATCTGGAAGAAATCCTGACCATACTCCTTCTCGTAGCCCTGAGTCTCACAAGGACCGGGGAGCTTGCCCTGCTTGCGCACGGGGACGAAGCTGGCACCTAGACGCAGCGCCAGGCTGGGACCCATCAGGAAGCCACGGGCCTCGAGACCGACAATGACATCGGGCTTCTGGCCACCGTGGTTGGCGATGATGTGAAGTTCCAGGGAGCGGATCAGGGCCTCATGCAAAGAAGGATCGGCGAAAATAGGCAGGATGTCCTCGAACAAGATTCCCGGAGAGGGGAAATCCGGGAACTGGCGTAGGGCGGCACGCAGTCTTACCTTAAGACTGGCGAGTTCGGCGGCGCTGGTGGCATCGGAGGCGGGGAGTCCGACTTTGGAGGCATCTGGGAGAGTGGAAGACATGATGATGAAAGGAAGAGAAGAAGAGGGGGGGAGAGGTCTAGAAGTAAAAGGGTTTTTTAAAAAATTGCCAAAAATATTTGGAGGGGGAAAAAAAGGAAATGGGTAAAATTACAGATAAAAGCAGATTATCGGGTTCCTTACCCCTCAGGTCTAGATCGTTACTGGTTTTTTACCTCTGAAGTATTTTTATATACCACTTTTCAATGACAGGCATGTTATAAATTCATTTGTTTTATTTGTTTTTTGGTATATTCACGACTCTTTTCATGTCAGATAGATACATATATAGAGTATGGATTCAAATCTCTACTCCAGGTACAACTCAGCGATCAAATCTCACTCACAGACTGTGGTCACGCAATTGTATAGTCCTCTAGAACACAGGTAAAACTACCGTACTGACTATTAGTATACTGACTATACTTATGTTTAACATACATGTACAAAGCACAGAGTAGCTTGTAGATATACCCAACCAGGGTCAGATCTGCAAAGACCCTAGTTAAGCCCCGTGAACCTAGTGCTCCGTCCCCTCATCGTCATCCCTGACGCTGTGTTCAAATTCAAAGCCTAGACCGTTGGACTACAAGGGATTGATGGTTACTTTAAAGGTCCAGCGGACAACAGGCAGAACCCGAACTAGAAACCAAAACTACCAAGCTATCAAGAGGTCATTAATGACTCACTCTGGGTATTGTCCAGACCGGACGTTGAGAACCGCATTGGATCAGACCATCTCAGCGGATGTGCACCGTGTGGCCATCTTTGACACATCAGACAGCCATTACACTGAGCCCCGGCCAATAGAATGTCTCCGGCGACGACATGATCTGAAACTCGTCACAGTGGCTTTACTGGAAACAGACATGCGTGCTGCATGCCAGGATGTCTGTTGTGCAGATGATGGGGGGAATTGTCCGTTGTCTGTACAATCGCAAAATGACTCCTCGTTTTTGGACGGGAACAAAAGTGCAGAGAGAAGTAAAACGCCAAATACCATAGACAAGATAACATTGACGAAAAAAAAAAAGAAAGAATGTTTAGATGTAAATCATCGTTTAGAGAATAAGCGGTTGGAAAAAAAAGAAATCTCAGGTTTCGTTTGTAGGAATAGCCGAACGCGGGGGTCGAACCCGCAGCCTTAAGATTAAGAGTCTTACGCTCTACCGATTGAGCTAGCCCGGCTGGGCTGTTGATTGTGGTTCCCACATTATGCTACATAAGCAAATCACTGTGTCCAGGAGGAAAACCCCTGGCATCGATTCAAAGTCAGGCCTTCTTCTGTGAGTTTGCGACTGATCATTCCAGAAAAATCTACATCTGTGGATCATGACTCATGCTAATCACTTTTTTAGTCTGCCCCAGAGGAAACTCACATTCAGCGTCGTGTTGGCTGCAATTAAAACCAATAGTCATGACGCTGGATTTGTGTGGTTGGACTAATTTAGCTTGAGTTTTTGCGTATTAGAATTTCCATGTTGTACCCCGGTTTTAATTTTGGTTCTCAACAGGTCTCCAGTGATATTCTTTGCAATACATGCTTGCTTTGGACTCCCGATGTATGTCCAACCTTCGATGCATGAGTGTCAGCTTCATGATGTTGGAACTACATGCATTAGGTTACAGAATGTGTCGCCCAGAAACTGGTGTCAATGTTGCAAAAAAGATCATAAATTCCTTCAAGTAATTTTAGACATCTCTCAAGTGGACAGGTTGACTGTGCTGACTCATCGTCTCACACTTTCACTTTACTCGACACCATAAGCCCTCGTCATCCAGACTCCAGGAACATGGTCACCCATATGTGCCTGCATGTACCTGCATATACATATTAAATTCAATGTAAGGGAGGTAGATCTATGTACCCTTGTGTTCGACGTCGAAGTATACTCGGCCTTGACACTAGCCCAAAACGGGATAGCACTTCACATGATGAGCACAGACCATCTCGCTTCAAGTTTTTCCGATGTCGACCCAATCTCTCTCTATAAATCCTCCTGTTTTCCTCTTTCTCATCTCTCACGCTTTTGAAGTTTCAGAGCCTCAACAGGCCACTTCGAATTCAGATGAATTTTATCTGATACCCTGTAATACTTTTACTCATGTCTCCCGCCGTGGTTTCCGAGATGCAGCCGGATCTGCATCATGACAAGCTCGAGGCCGTCGGCAAAGCCTTCGATGCGCTCTTACTAACCGTGTACCGGCTGACTCATAGACAAAATGAGCTGTTCCAGCACATGGATAAAGTCTTCAAAGAGGTAAATACACACCCTGACCCTCTTCCCCCTGTTTCCACATCCTGGTCTTGCATGACGAAGAAAAGCTCTAGATCAGGAGTCACTTTTGTGGCGATGACGGATTAACATGTATTATCTGATTAAGACCAAGATTGCCTATCTACTTTGATAAACTACAAGATGAAAATTGCTAACTATTCTCATTTTACAGTACACAGATGTGATAAATATTCTGCCTCCTCAAGATAGACATCGTGCATCTGACGTTCAAAACAAGCTGCTCGCTCAGCTAGAAGATTACCGTCAGGGCCTCGTACACAGCAAGCCTCGAGTTGAGGAAGAACCGTTGAATTCCATGCATGTAATCAAGACCCTTGCTGCGCATCAAAATGTAGACGAAAATACTTTCTCGGCCATCAGGAATGGAGTCAAAGGGTGCAAGTACCTGCTCCGTTCACAAGATAGCCTCTCCCAATTATCCTCCAACTCGTGCATCCTCGCGCAAGCACCGACTCCAGCAATCGCGCTGGAGAAGGACTTCACTACGAATGGCACCCAGGGAAATCTACACTGTCCCTTCTCCAAACCGAATAATATGCAGAGCGCAAATGCCAGCGAAGCTTCCAGTGGGAAAAACTCTGTGCCGAAGGTCCAGATCGAAGCTACCTGCGGCCACGAGCATCTGGACCCTGTCAAGGCTGAACTTGAGGACCGACGCTCTAGCCACACCCCATCAGTCCCGTCGTCAAAAGGAGGATGCCCCGTCTTCCGATGCCCGATCCGATTCCTCGATCAACACTCCCCAGAAGAAATTGCTGAATACGTCGAACGACACAAACACGAGATCCCCCGCAGCCATGCAATTTGCGTCAAGCGTTATCAACGAAACCCACAGGACATGAGACAATTGGATGCCAAGTACGGCGGCCTAACCAGCATGATTGCTGGCCTAGGTGTCAAGCACCAAGCCTTCCTGCCTGACCGCCATGCCAGTGGCGAAGCTCACTCCTCACATTCTGCGTCGAGCGAACGTGTTGAGAAATGGGCCGAAAACGTGGATCTCAGTACGCACAGTGCCCAGGACGAGGAGAACGAGGAAAAGAACGAAGAAAAGAACGAGGAGGATAAGAATGAGGATGATAAACGACAGAGTCACTTCGACCGTCCCCTCCGTGAAGTCCGCGTGGGCGAATCCCCAAGCAGGCCTTGGGGCATTTCAGTGCCTGTCACACATCTACCTCCTGCCTCAGTACCGCTCTCTGGCTCAGCGTCCATCCCCACATCCTCCGACCCTCGAGCTGACAAACCCGATAACCCCACCTATGCCGACCTCCTTGATGCTAAGCCTGCTGGCGGCTGTCCATTCGACCACGGCAAACCAAAGCCTGAAGCCCCAAAGCCCGAAATTGAAACACCTCGACGTGATGAAAGACCCAAGGACAATGATGTTGCTACACCAAAGAAATCCGGCTGTCCTTTCGACCACAATAAACCAAAGGCTGAAGTTCCAAAGCCTGAGTACGAGACCCCTTGGGCTGGTGAATGGCCTAAGACCTGGCCCAAGGACCAGACCGTCGCAGATCAAGCACCTGGTCGCCAGGTCGCTCCAACTGCTCCAACTGCTCCTGTCAGCGAGGAATCGACTACAAAACCCGACATTTCCTCATCATTTTCTACCCCCTCTCACATCACCTTCAACGGTCCCGTCTTCTTCGGGTACTCCGTCGAAGAGACTGCCAACCTATTGAAGCAGTTCGGCAACCTAGGTAAATCATGACCCCAAGGTACTTCTCTTGTACAGTATGTTCATGGATGGCGCATGATCTTAACACATTACGACGAAAACGACTCAATCTTTTCTTTTAGCAAGTAATGTCGCTGGATTAGCCCAGTTTGAATACTGATTTAATACCAAATTTAACCTCTTCTAATATCTACAACAGTTATAACAACTAAATCCATAACAAGTTACAGAATGACTTGATCGGGGAGCATCGACCATCTCCGAGGGAAACTTGTAGAGCGGGGCACCTTCGTTATCATCACGACCTTCCTATAACTTCCCCTCTCCCCAATGCTGCGAGCTACTCCTCGATTTCTATCTCAATCTCGAATCCTCCGTCCTTCAATCCCACTCAGATCCCAATTCCCATCTCCCATTATGTCCGCCAACATCTCCATCATCTCCGCCAAGGATGCCTGCCCTCGTAAGTCAAGTCCCGCCAGCTATGGTTCCTTCGCCGCCTTTTCGACAGAGAAAGCACTGTCAATCCCAGAAAAGGAATCAAAGGAAACAAATAGTAATTACTAACTCATATCTTCTATAGCTGCCGGCCCTTACGTACGTCCTTCCCTCCATCTGCAGCTCCATCTACCTTGAAAGCTACCCCTCTATGCCGGAACAATCCACTCCAAAACGCCCATTCTTAGCCACGCCTACACATATTGCTTTATACAAGCACCACCTAACAAAATAACTACAGTCCCAGGCCATCCGCGCCAACGGCCAGATCTTCGTCTCTGGACAGATTCCCGCCGACTCCTCCGCCAACTTGGTCGAAGGAAACATCGGTGCTAAGACACAGGTTTGCTGCGACAACATCAAGGCTATCCTGACCGCCGCTGGCTCCAGCGTAGACAAGATTGTCAAGGTCAATGTATGTGGCTTGCCCCTGGCTTTCTTGTTGTGGCGTTTCTGATCCCGGCTTGGCCAGGGAGAAAGAAGTAGACACAAGTTATGAGGAGAACGTTTTGCTGATCTTGATTTTCCAAGGTTTTCCTGACTGATATGGCCAACTTCGCTGAGATGAACGCTACTTACGAGAAGTTCTTCGTTCACAAGCCTGCTCGTAGCTGTGTTGCTGTTCACCAGCTGCCTAAGGGTGTGCCTGTTGAGATTGAGTGCATTGCTCTGGAGTAAATTTTGGAGTTTATTTAATCCAAGTCTTGCTTCTATTTGCGTCGATGAAAACGATATAAAAGACAGGTTAGAATAAGAATAAGAATGAATTCGAACAAATTATGTTGAGGAAATCCTCGGGGAGATCTTCGTCTTGATTATTTCCAATTCCGATCCCCTTACCCTCGAGGAACATACATGCACGGGCACAAGCAGAATGCCAAATTGGGAATCATAAGAGACAAGGGTCCATGTGTCATGAGACAGAATGCAAGAGACGAAGGAACTGGAGAAGAGGGAAGAAAAAAATGAACACAACATTGCTGGCTTGATGGAGAAGGGAAAAAAAGAGACATTAAGGTTGGAATGTAGGAGAGCTTGCTAGACGTGTGCACATTCACCTGCTACGGGGAATGATACTGCTCATGCGGCTTCCAGCACCGGCCATCAGACTCTGTTTCACGATTGCATCAGCAGCGGCGGCGGCAGCGAGTCTTTCCTTCTGACGACTACGGTCGCGAAGATAGCCGGCAGCTTCGGGGCGCATGCGCAGAATGCGCAGGATCATGTCGTCGTTCGGATCAGCTTGAGCCTCCCGCCGCTTCTCTTCCTTGGCTTTCCTCATCGTGCCCAGGTTGCGGGAGAGCATGATGCTCTTGGCACGGCGGGCAGCAGGAAGACCCAAGCCGCCGAAGCCGGCACCTGTGGCGCCGAGGTGAACAGGCGCAGAATTGCGGTTGCGGGCCGCTTGTTGGCGGTTGACAGTCGCCGAGGCCATGCGCTCGGAGGTGCGAATGAGATGCTCCGTTGGTTCAAAGTAGAAGAAATTCAGAGACTGAATTTCGTGATATTTGGGTGATTTCAGGATGTCGATTGGGACACCGTTTGCTTCACCAGTTTCATCGTCAACCGCATGGAAGAAGTTTAATAGTAGCACGAGCCAGCGTGATACGATGTCGACTTCTTGAATGGTCAATGGCTTCTGATGAGATGGCTTGTCCGACAGAGGCGGTACGAGTAGACTCTCGATGGTAGCGAGCACTTCCTTCCACAGGCGAGCCATCACCATCTTCATGGCTTCGGGTGTGAGGGTTTTGTTCATGATGGCGAAGTTGTCATTGAAGTAATTGAACAAAGGAGTTAGTGCATTTTCGACGTCTGCCGAGGTGGGTCCGGCAGGAGCTGGTTGCGCTCGGTTGCGATTCAAGAAGCTCGAGACACTAGATATACTGAGTCCGCGAGAGAGCAGTGACTTTAGTGTTCGCCGGGAAAGACAGTGACTGATATATGCCGAAAGCTTCTCTGTGATCTTTCGAGTCATGTCCCTTTCAGTTCGTTTAAGTGTACGGAAAGCCTTGCCGAAGTAGAACTGGATGTCGTCTCGCTCGCCTTCCATACTGACTCGGAGCAGAAGCCGACCCTGGGTATCCAGGTCGAGCCAATACTCTCTTGGCAAGAAGTCACTGAAGTGCACAGGATCTAGCTTGATTGACGTGCGACCGACATAGTCGTGATCGCCCACTGCATCCCAGTCCCAGATGGTAGCGATGATATTCAAAGGGCCCTGTGTAGTAAGATCCACTGAATCTTCCCATCGGGGATTAAGATTATTGTAGACGATGCGAGTTTTGGCAATTCGTTTCTGATATTCGTCCGTCAAGACGACGTATGGATCGCTGCCACCACCAATGTCGCATGCTTTCAAGTCCTCTGCCTCCACTACCTTGATTGTAAAGACATATGTGGTAGACTTGCGGACTTTCTTGAGTTGCGGTGGGCTATTTCTTGCAATGACCTCGGCGCAAGCGTCGACATTGATGTCACTTTCGAGCTTGTCGAGCTGAGCAAGTGCATACTCAATGTTGTTCAGTTTCACCAGAGACTATGGCGTTTGTTAGCAGCAATATTTGCCTAGTCGCAATGAACAATAACACACCTCCGATGAGAATTGGAAGGGCTCGATTTTTTCCTTATTCGTCCAGGTGTCTTTGGCGAACTGCATCAGTTTTTCCTGGGTGGTTTGATTCAAGGCTGCCTCCTGTTCGGGCGTGAGACGATCCATCTCCCGCGTGAACATCTTCTCCAAGGAGTCACAGTACGTTGCCACACCTTTCCCAATTGAATTAGAGAGATGTGTCATGAACTTCGCATATTGGAGATCATCGTCCCACTCAAGTTGCACCATGCTTTCAACAACTTGGTTGAATGATCGGAAAATGTCAATTACTGACACACTATGACGATCGTTTTCCGCCGCAAGCTCCGAACGAACGGCGAACGCATCTTGTCTTGTAGCTTGGCTGACCCAATCCATGATCTTTTGGTCAGTTAAACGAAGCCATCTCCAGACGAAGTCTTGAAGGAGACCCTCCACATGGAAAGGGAATGGAGCACTAAGCTGGGTTAGCTAGTTCCAGAGGAACAGTTAGGGGGTGCGGGGGCTTACTCCTCATGGGTGTTGTGGAATAACCGTCTGATAGTGGCGAGCTGCTTGTATAGGTCGAAGCCGTCGTCAATAGCGATCTCCTCACCTCTCGCTTTTGCTTGCTCGAGAATTCTTATGATCATTTCATGTGCATCCTCGGCGAACATGGGGAGTACATTGTGACACAAGGTAGTATAGGGGTTCACACTATTTGCAAGTTAGAGACTGATCAAATAGACAGAGGAGAAAGAAAGAAAGAACCCACCCCATGATCTCCGGGTTATTGCGGTAGCGTTTCTGAATCTTTAGCGCAAGCTTTGATATTGCATCTCCAAGCTGAATGACATGGTCGGGATCCCAAGCCTCTTGTTCCACTGGGATTAGTTGGCTAAGAAGGCTTTGATACTTCGTTGTTGCTTTTTCGGCAAGTCCTTCTTGCACATACGTGCTGAATCGATTGATGTCTTCAGGGTCCTCAATGTAGTTGGGATCCATCTGGACGTGGGTGTCAAGAATGTACATAATAGGACCGAGTGGGCGGGGCTTTGCCTCGAAGCAGTCCATCATAGCCTCATATAGCTCGCGGAGCAAAGCCTCATGAAGCTTGGACAGCAGCATTTGCATCGTTTGAAGATCATGTACAGTCCATCGTCGCCGATCAAAGACCGTGGAAGGCGCAAAGCTACTGCGTTTGCGGTTCTCTCCGAAAGGCATTTCTTTCACAAAAATAAATGCAGAGTCCAGAGTAGTGAGATCAATCTCATTGTCAACAAATTTAGCCTGAGCCACCTCGAGGAACAACACGACCCGGGAGAAAGGTGGAATCCGCCAGCGGAGACACATCTCATTAAGCATTTCCGAGGACTGCTTCGATAGCAGTTTGATTAAAGGCACGTCAGATGTGGCCTGCGTAGCTTCAAACTCCCTGTCCCGCAGATCATGGGTCAAGGTCTGGGTCAAGATGTATTTGTACAAAGATCTAGGGTCAGACGGTATGAATGTGTATGTATCAGACTCATCTGACTGTTCTAAAGAAAGTCCACTCAAATCAAGAGGCTGATCAATAACATAAGATGTTCTGTCAGCCCGACCAGACGATGTCCTTGACAAGTCGGAATTCTCGTGAGGACTCGAATTAAACTGAGGAAGAGACCCGGGCGTGTTTTTGGCTAGATCGGGATTGGATTGCATGATTGCGAGCATCATCTGTGAGAGATCAGGGCCTTCGCTCTTTTTCCAGCCATCATAAGCCTCGTCCGATTCAAAATCATCTCTTGACAAGGTTTTGTGTGTCTGGAGGTTCAGGTGAGCTTGGTAAGTCTTTAGGTCCTGCAGAGCGGCCTTTTCAGTCCAGGTGGACTTGTTTTTATCGATTTCGGACTGTGCTTCGGATGTGGTCATCCCAAAGATACTGGCCACATGTTGCACCAGGGGCATATCCTTCACGTTATAACTCAATACGCCAACACTCTCTGTCGTAGATGTAGGCCCATTCGATTGCATGAGGTCCTGATCTTGCAGGAGAAGCTTGTTTTCCAGCACCGTTAATCGATTGGCCAGTTCTGGGCGGTCTTTGGACCACTCGTGATCTTTCAGGGTGAGCGCAAGAAGTCGAACAAAAAGCGCAACATGCCGATCCACCATGAACTTCCAACCGTCATCTTCATCCTCTTTGCCCTTGCCCAACTCTTTGACAGCGTTAGAGTAGAAAATCAGGAGCAGATCTTCAGCCCGACGGTCCTTCTCCATGCGTTTTCGGAACGAATCCTCCTTCAGAACGTTGAGAAAGACAGCAAATGTTCGCACCACCAGGTGATCTTGATATTCCTTCCTTTTCTCTTTTCCCATCAACACACCCGTCAATCGCTTCTCCAGCTCGGACACGAAGCCATGGGGAATCCTGGTGCTTTTGGAATCTCTGACCAAGGAGAAATCACTCATTAAATCATGCATGGTGACTGATCGTTTTGGCCGCGCCGGCGCGACAGGGGCATTTTGTATGCGACGAGAGCGAGGGTTAAGGAGATAGGCGAGGTAGGCGACCCGAATGGCATGACTGTATGCCACGTTGGCGCTTAGGGGGCGGCGTCGCGATAGGGAGGAGTTGCGCGAATGGCGACCCTCATTTTGGAGGCTGTTAATCCGTCGGTTGACTCCTCGGGATTGGGTAGAGGCTGTCGACATGGAGTTGCCAATTAAATTCGTGCAACTTTAGGGGACAGATAGCGTCGGACTATGGAGAAAGGTGGAAAGCACCCAGCACCCAGAAGAAGCTTTTCAGAAAATAAAAAAAATTTCTTTCAGTCCAAAGTGAAATGCCGTCACAAAGCTGGAGGGGTGGATTGTTAATTGAAGGGGGAAAGGGAGAGGGGTGGAGGTGAAACAAAAAGCTGCCGAACCAACTGACGTAGAGGCGTCCCGTGCAAAAACAAAGCTATTAACCGTCTAAAGTTGTTACCGAGTTACTATGGGGCTTTCTTCCTTCCATTCTACATGCAAGTGCTTAATGCACATTGCTAGTCCAAGGAACTCTTATCCTTGTTCTCCCAATATGGGCCCAAAGTTGTACAGCTGCAAGGGTTTGGTGGTTTATATAGTAGGATCAATATTGACACAAAGTCAAATCTATATGAAAGAATAGCTTTGAAGATTCTTAGAAGAATTTCAAAAGATGTCTAGAAAGGTATCCGAAAGACAACTAGAAAGACAACCCAAAAGGACATTGTAGAGTTATCTCAAAATACAACGTTCCATATTATCAAACGGATTAGTGCAAGATATTGGCACATGCGATAAACATAAGAGTGGTTTTAATCCAAATTCATTCCGAGCATACGATCGGGCTTTTTCGGGCTTTGATGAAACACGGAACTGGTGAGTCGACCACCAATCCCCGAAGACGCCGAAGATAGAAAGTCGTACTGGTATTTACACAAACAAAAAGAGAGACCAGATGTGAATCACAACTTGTCGCCGGACTTGTGAGCCTAAAGCAAATAGTTAGCTCTTTGCCCTTTTGAGACATTCAGTTAACATAATGCCCAGAACATACCGGCAAAGCATTGGGGCCGCCCAACTCCTTCTCCAGACCATCGACATATGCCTTTGGAACACTCGGCTTGTCAGGGTAGTTGAGGCTGACAATTCCAACCAGGCCAAGGAAAGCAACGACGAAGCAGCCGAGGTGGAAGAAACCCTTGCCGGCCGTGACGTGGGTATATTGCTCGGGACTGAAGACACCGAGGATTTCGTTATCCTCGTGCACAGGCTCACCAAAGTTGCGCTTCTCTTGCGCATCCCACCAGCCACCGTGAGGGTCTCTGTGTGCCCGCTTCACTGCGGGAGGGTTGGGGTAATTGTTGTTCTATCTCGGGGGTTAGATCCCGGATACCAAGTAGGGAGACGGCATCTGTGCCATGCGGATTCTATACCTGTAGAGCCTCATCAACAGTAGCAGCACGGAGAGCTGGGATCTGGGAGAAAGATGCGCGAGGAGCGATGGCTCGGGCGGCAACCTGGGGCAGGCGCCGGGACAAGATCCGTTGAGACAGCATCTAGGAGTACTTGAAGTTTAGAAAGGCCGGGGAGTTATCAAATATAAGATGGAGCAAAAGACACTCACAATTGTGCTGAAAGACAAGCAGCAAATAAGTTGTGAAAGGAAGGCAAGAGAGCCAATTGGGTGGAGGGGGTTGAACATCGATGATGAACGGATGGAGGTTTGCGGAATGTTGTGGCCTGAGGCAACCAGTCACAAGACTTCAGGCATCCACGCGGCGCGACCAGGTCATTGCTCGCCCGAAGGAAAAAAACCACTCTCCACGTATTCTCATCATCTCCGTTGTTTTTTCGTCCCCATTCACGCTACAGGGCCGATAAGCATGTCAAACTTCGTGTAGTATCTCTACTCGATATTCCCTATTTGTTGATGCTAAAATCTTCCATTTCAACTGCGTCATTGTTGGGATAACTGGGGTCACCTGCCGCCAACGGCCCCTGTCGTCTGCGGCTACAAGTCATGCAAAACGGCACCTCCAACGGCCCATCACCCCAGGATGAACGTGTAACGCCTGTATCTGATTTGACACCCCTCAGCGGGTCTTTAATCGAAAGCTCATCGGATTCTGCCCCGCACGAGCCAATTCCTTCCAAGCCGAAAGACGTCGAAGCTGCTCATCAACCGGAAGAACCCCCATCGAAGAAACGAAGACTCACAGATTCCTCCTCGTCGCAACGTTCCACTCCTAGACCACCATCCCCGCCTTGGAAAAAGGCTGGCTTTGAGGGACCCACATCGTTCTTCTCTGAAGGCAAGCGTAGGTCTTCGCGGACAAATGCCGTCCCAATCGAGCTTCAACCTGGGTCGGACAAGAGACACACGCGGGGGGCTCAGAGTAAGAATGTTGGCAAGTCTGCTCGTGATGGGAGCAAGCCAGCTACATCCTCGCCGCTATCAGTAACGCAGTCACGCGCCGACGTCAATGGGAAACTGGGTGGAAAGGTCACTGCCAATGGATCGCCCAGAGCGCCATCGCGCGCGAGCGCCAACAAGCCGCCGCGTATCTCACAGACTTCAGCACCAAAACCAAGTTATTCGCGCACCAAATCTCGCAGCTCGGCTACCCTTCCTCGCCTTTCTAGTACCAACGTGAACGGTACTAGTTCTCGCTCGCTGCGCGATCGCCCATTCCTTTCGAATCTATCACATGAGGTCGACAGAGCTTCAGATGATACCAGCGTGGATGACAGGGAACTCGAACAAAGGTCGTTGAAAATTCCAAAACTGCGCATTAAATTGAACAAGCCTGTCCTTCCTATTCGACACCCCGGTCACATACCGCAGCGGAAATTTACATCTTTCAGAGAATGGGTATACCAAAACGACACTGCGAATATATTGTCAGAGGATGAGGCCGCGGTTGAGGCACGCAAACGGCTCGAAGTTGTGACTGCCGCTGAGCCCGGTGGACCGTTGAGCGCGCAAGTTTGCTCGGCATACATAACGGAACAGCAAGAGGAACCTCCCCCACAATACTCGCATCAGGATCACTTGGTTTCCCATGCGCTCTATTTCCAGAAACTCCTCGATAAAGAACACAAACGCCACCGGCAAACAGCCAAATTATTTGCGCAGTGGTGTGCTGACGCTTACCGGAAATGCCACAAGAACCCCGAAGACATTCTCCGTGAGCAGCAGGAGGAGATGCGTGGGAAACGCAAGCAGCTATCAAAGGATCTTCAGAAGATGTTCGACTTGACCCGTGCTGACATTGATCGGGTCCGCCTAGCACGTTGGGAAGAAGAGCGGAAGATGGAAGACCAGCAGGCTCTTGATCGCGCTATCAAAAAGTCTACTATGCTCTTTGAGAAGCGTCGATCGGAGATTTTGGGTGAATTGCCCAGTGATGCTCCGGTGACAAGTGATGATGAGGATAATGCATCGGGCTTCTCTTCTGGCCTAGACGAAGAAGACGAGAGTAACATGTCAGAATCTGAGTCTGGAACCGACGACGAAACCAATGTGGACGATGATGCCACATTGACCGCGGAAGAGCTCCGGCGGAAGTACGCCAACTTACCGGCTGAGGACTATACCGACCGGACTTCTATAGCCTCGGGCAGCACGGCAATGACCAACCCCAACGAATCGTTGAACCCCGAAGCTGTTCTAGATGGCCTCGATTCAAACGCTATCCTCGAAGATACTCAGCTAGATGACGTTGATTCAGTGTTGATGGATGATAGTGATGCCTCCACAGACATGGATGATGATATGGGTGATAGTGACGAAGACGAAGAAGATTTAAGTGACGAGGAGTCAGATGAGGATGATGAGACCAGATCTGGCTTGCTGGGTTTCTTCTCGAAGAATGAAACTCCTGTGCTAGAAGATGGCGAACAAGCTTCAGCTGTTGGCCATGAACAAGACATTGATAGTAAATCGGCATCTGGGGGTGAAGATGACGTTGATTTCGAAGATCAAGATGAAGTTTCTCTCGTGCCAATTAGACCAATGACCAGCGAGGGCACTTCAACGGAAGGCACACCTTTCTATATCGCCAATGCTTCTGAAACCTCTCCTGCCACTGGAGGAGAAACACCTGCCATTGACACCCCGATGGAAGAAGAGCTTGCCAAAGTCGAAGCTGAGGATGCCGCCACTGCTGCCCCCGCGGATGACAATGATCACCCCCAGCCTATGGAGTTAGATCACGTTCATGACGGCCGACTGAGCGGGGAGATGTCTAGTGAGCCATCGCCGGGAACCTTTGCAACCAAGCCATCCGAGCCTGAGTCGGTCTCATCGCTTGAACCTACAATCGAAAAGGCATTGCAAATAAGCCACTCACCTGCCCCGGGCTTACAGACACCCATTCCACACATCCTGCGTGGCACACTACGTGAATATCAACACTACGGATTAGACTGGCTTGCGGGTCTCTATAAGAACCATATCAATGGTATCCTGGCAGATGAGATGGGTCTGGGCAAAACCATTCAAACCATTGCCCTTCTTGCCCATCTTGCTGTGGAGCATGGTATCTGGGGGCCTCATTTGGTTGTTGTCCCCACAAGTGTCATGCTCAACTGGGAAATGGAGTTCAAAAAATGGTGCCCGGGGTTCAAGATCATGACTTACTACGGCAACCAAGAAGAACGCAAACAGAAACGCCGAGGCTGGACAGATGACAACGCCTGGAACGTGTTGATTACATCGTATCAACTTGTTTTGCAGGACCAAATGTCTCTCAAGCGAAAGGACTGGCACTACATGATTCTTGACGAAGCACACAACATAAAGAACTTTCGCTCACAGCGGTGGCAAGCCCTTCTTACGTTCAAGTCCCGTGCCAGGCTTCTCCTAACGGGTACACCACTCCAGAACAACCTCACAGAACTGTGGTCTCTTCTGTTCTTCTTGATGCCTTCTGATGGTACTAACGGTGGCGTTGATGGGTTTGCTGATTTAAAGGATTTCTCTGAATGGTTTCGGCGCCCTGTTGAACAAATTCTGGAACACGGCAGGGAAACTATGGACGAAGAGGCCAAGGGTGTTGTCACCAAACTTCACACTGTTCTCCGCCCGTATCTTCTTCGTCGACTGAAGGCCGATGTCGAGAAGCAAATGCCTGGCAAGTACGAACATGTGGTTTATTGTAGGCTATCGAAGCGTCAACGATATCTCTACGACGGCTTCATGTCGATGGCCCAGACCAAGGAGACGCTCGCGTCCGGAAACTTCCTCTCCATCATCCACTGTCTGATGCAACTCCGTAAAGTGTGTAACCACCCCGATCTCTTTGAAACCAGACAAATCTCCACCTCTTTTGCAATGCCGCGGTCTGTGGCTATGGATTTCAATCTCAAAGAATCCCTCGTTCGACGACGACTTCTCTTTGAACATCCACTCACTAAGATCGACTTCGATTTCCTCAACCTTGCACCCGTGTCACGGGAAGACATCTCACGACGGCTGGCCGACGATAGTATCCGGCTGATGGCTATTGGCCCGTTCAAGTCTCTTCGGGAACGCCAGTACAACCGAACCAATTGGGAGATGGAGTTTGATGGGTCCAATATGCAGACCGTCTTAGAGTCATTGGAGAATGCATGTCGCAAGAGGCGAATGGCGGAATTGGAGCGGTGTCTCTACTTCGAGTCCAAGCGGCACGGCCGTCGGCCCATATACGGTTGCAGCCTTGTTGAATTCCTTCGGGCCGGGACCAAGGAACACGCGCTATCCAATGCACCGCTGCGGAAGCGCTCAATGGCCGACTGGTTGTCAAGCCGGTCATCTGTCCTCGCGTCGATAATTCTGACCGTTGAGGAACGGGCGCTTGAGATGCATGGCTATGTCCAGAGATTCGCCTGCGTCACCCCCGCTGCCGTCGCCGCGGGCATGAACGAAGCCGCCCTGACCCCCGTCGAGACCCGGCTTTTGACGAATAATCGCCCAAATCCGCCTTACGATCCTTTTCACGAAGCACGGATGCGTCTTTCTATTGCATTCCCGGATAAGAGATTGCTTCAATACGACTGTGGCAAACTGCAGCGCCTTGACAAACTCCTACGTGACCTCAAAGCTGGTGGTCATCGAGCCTTGATCTTCACTCAAATGACCAAGATGCTCGATATCCTCGAACAGTTCCTCAATATCCATGGCCATCGCTATCTCCGACTCGACGGAACAACGAAAGTCGAGTCCCGGCAGATGCTCACGGAACGATTCAATAGCGACCCCCGCATCCTCGCTTTCATCCTATCGAGTCGATCTGGTGGTCTCGGCATCAATCTCACGGGCGCCGACACGGTCATCTTCTACGATCTAGACTGGAACCCAGCCATGGACAAGCAATGTCAGGATCGCTGCCACCGCATCGGTCAAACACGGGACGTTCACATCTACCGCTTCGTATCCGAGTATACCATTGAATCCAACATCCTCCGCAAAGCTAACCAGAAGCGCATGCTCGACGATGTCATCATCCAAGAAGGCGAGTTCACCACAGACTACTTCACCAAGCTAAACGCGCAAGAGATAGCCGAACCCGACGAGCGTGACGGGCAAGACGAAGCAAGTGCTGCCATGGACCGAGTCCTTGGTAACCGCGTTGGCGGCGGAACCCGGGTCTTCGAAGCTGCCGAGGACAAGGAGGATCTGGATGCGGCAAAGAACGCTCAGAAAGAACAGGAGCATGCCGACGATGGCGACTTCGAGGAGCACAGCACTTCGCACGGAACACCGGCCCAGGTTGGAACACCCTTGGTGGAAGACACCGAGCCGGTTCCGCTGCAGGTGTCTGACCCCGATGCAGAATTGCAGCCTGGTCACATTGATGACTATCTTTTGCGCTTCATGGAGTGGAATATGAGGGATGAACCCCTGGTTCTGCCAGCGGATAAAAGTAAGAAGAAGTCCAAGAAGGGCAAGGAGCACCATCTCAAGAGGCGTCGCTAGAGCCATTGCGAGATCAATGCCTTTCCTCCTTTTAACTCCACTCTTGTTTCAAGTTTCAATATTCCCCTCAAAATTCCCATCACGAAGTCATCCTGTTTTCTCCCGGCTTGTAATAGTCTCTGTGTATAATCTATAGGCGTTGAAGATGTTAAAATGTTTATCGTCTTTTTTCCTCCTCTCTTTTGATTAGCTGTCTTGATTACTTTCAACTCTTCTCTTATGCTCTACTCTTTTTTTTTCCCTATCTCCTTCCTCCTGTTAATTCTTTCAGCATCAATAGACTCTCACCAAGGCAAAACTAAATATTCTCAAATTCAATAGTCTATTTCCCGGAGATTAAACTTGACTAGACAGGTGGATCGGAATCCATCCCAGGTTGGCATAGGCAGATCCTTTTACTCCAACTGTCGGACCCTTGGATCTGGGAGGCTATAGAGATTTAGTTCTTTATACTCCGTACGGAGTAGATTAATATCAATAGTGTGAAAACCGCGGGATTGTCCTTTGTTGTATGGAGCACGGAGTGCATACGAAATAGATTGCAGTGGAGTCAGGAAAGGGGGATACATCGCATACTCGGTAGTCATTAGTGAGCACTGTTTCTAGGCTGTACCTCGGAACGTGTTAGTATGGTAAGGTTGAATGTGAAGAGAGTAAAATATTTACATAACATCTAGAGAAAGAGGAAGAGAACCAAGGCCAATTCTCTCGGCCTTCATCTCCTATTCTCCTTTCCGATATCCTCGAAGAGTCCAATGAGGGCTCCCCCCCCTGCCAATTCTTATTTGCCTCCTCGGTATGGGTTCCCCGAAGGATAATAATTGAACGAGAGCGACCGCGTGGTTGAAGAAATAATGGGGACGGCCTGGGCCATGAGGACGTAGGAAGTGGAGCCTCATTCTGCAGTCATGCCTCGGATACGACTGGGATACGCATATTTCTCTGCACATGAGCTCAAGGGAAAGAGTGGGGGATACTGAGATTGTTGCCGAGTATTCACCGACATCGACGTTTTGACTTTTTGGAGTCGGGGCTCCACCAATCTTCTCTCCAAATCCCCCTCGAACTCGGACGGAAAAATTACATGTCCAACATGGGAAGTTAGGGCTTTCGCAGAGAGATTCCGTACTCTATTAAGCTTTGAAAAGTGCCTCGTTGGAGGTGCAGCAGATCCATGGTGATCCGGGGGATCTCGATGCGATTTACAACTGAATTGATAGATCACTGTTTGCCGGATTAAGTGGATGTTTTGAACTGTCGATTGAGATAGATGGCATTTCGCTATTGGACCGGAAAGGAGAACCCAGAAAAAGAAAAGAGGACAAGGTCCCGAACAGATATTTCAAATGACATTTCTTTGTATCGGGCGGCTGTAAACACGTCAAAAGGGATCTCCCTTTTAGTATGGAGGCGCGCGGGTGAACAAATGCCGAGGCGCTATGTGTTGGATCCAGTCTCACGGCCTCCTTTTAGGAACCCCGGGATTGGAGATGTTGTAAAACAAAGAGAGGGTTTCTCGTATCCGGCCAATGGCATACAAATCCAGAGACTATCGGCATTTCTCCAGATTTTCATTCCCGAAGTGGCGGATGGGACGGGATAAGAGTTTCTCACCCATGGAGGTCCTATAGAGGTGAAGATATCCAGTCCTGGAGATTCAACAGCCGAAGATGGACATCTGCAGTTCGCGAGATGTGACATATGCAGGCCGAAGAACGCAAGCGATGATTGGCACTCGTGGGCGCTTTTCATGCAGTGTCGGGCACGTGCATTTTTGGTAGATCTACATGTCTCTCATATTTTTTCTCATGTTGATAGAGGTGATGGTACGACTAGTGTGAGAAATCCCGTTTAAAGGGAGAAAGAAACTCAGCTTGTCACCAACGTGGAGTTCAAAAATCCACTATTGAGGACCCGGGCAGATCTTCGCCGATCAATTTGCCAGATCGACTGGCACTCGCACGAACTGGTACTCCACGGGCGTGACACCCATTGGTGTGAGTCAAGAGGCTTTACACTAGTTCTGACACCATGTGCCTTAGCGGGTTCACCTCCAGCCGTAAAAAAAAAAAAAAATTTAGTGCCTTGGGGGTCTGGGGAATAGGCACCGCTGTTTCCCAAGTCATGGCCCGTTCGGATAGTGTTGGAATCTGAGCGTAGAATATATACTTCGGGATTGGATTTGCACACGGTTATTTCCATAACCACAAAAATTTTGTGGTTCTCAACGGCTCTGCTTTTGGATAGACGTCCGATGCAAAACCATTGGAACCGTCAGTACCGTCCATTGAGGATCCCGAGGTGGCGGTGATCGGCGGCCATGAGGCCTACAAGATAAGACGCCATCCGCGGGTGAGAGGAGGGCTTATCTAGTTTGGAGTAGGACCGGACCGTATTGGGATAAAACTGGGGCTTCAGCCGGGCCCCAATGCACAGTAAATCACTCCTGGGGAACTATAGGCCGTGTGTCTTCGCATGACCGCTGTGCTGGGATTTCCCCCGATTTCTGTCGGACTGAATCAGGGTAATGGAGTCAACATGGGATATAGACCTGGATATCTTCTCGATAGGTCAAATGCAAGCAAGAGAACAGTGAACACCCGTACACCGCAGGGAGCGAGATGATCAATCGAATTCCGATATTCGCTTTGTTCAAACGCGCCAAGCTCTCAACTGGGGATAGTAAGACCTAGCAGATGAGCTGTTCCGCTTGGATGATGTGATCCACTTGAAGTGATGACATCGCCCTGATCGTCGAGACCTGTAACCAATGAAGGTTACTCTGTGAATCTCGTTGATGATCGCCGCGTGCTGGAAGCCACGGACGCTAATGCCCAATGGATCCCCAAGGGATAGATTGGGTGAGGGTTCCATAATGACAGAACCAAGACAATGGAAATGTGGAGGTGAAGTGGGCAGTGGGTGATGTTGAGAGGTTAGACGTGTGGCCCTAACAAACCAACTTTTCATGTTTTATTTCTTTCCCCATTCCTTCTCCGTACTTTCCTACATATAATCGTCTCGCCCGTTTCCTGTCTTATTTTTTGTTGATCACCTTGATATTCATACTATCCCCTCCCCCCCCCCCTTTTTTCACTCAATTGGACTGTGCGTCAATAATGAAGACTTCCATCTCGTCCGATGTATGGGAGAAGAAGAAGGCGTTGATCTCCAAGTTATATATGGAAGAAGAATGGCCCTTGAAGCAGGTTATCAAGCAGATACGTACCGATGATTTCAATCCCAGGTGAGGATTTTCATGTTCACATCCATTCCATGTCCGATACCGGACCCTATCAAGGACTATGACCTAACCTCTCCAGCGAAACCCAACTACGAAGCAGACTGAAGAAATGGCGAGTGACCAAGCCATCCCGTCAGACTCGAAAGAAGAGTCTGGCTTCAGCTTCTGGAGGAGATCCAGACTCAGATAAGGATACGAAGCGCACGGCATCCATCCAAAGACCACTGCCATCAATACCAACAAGTGAGACACCAACAACCCGCCATGAGTGGCCCATGATACGATCCAGCTACGGACATTCATCCACCCTTCACCATCCTGTCCCAGATCAGGACCGAAAATGGAGCTCTCCTATGATCCAACAACTCACCCCAAGCCCCTCCGGCGAGCACACCCCCATCCCAGACCGCACACCAGCCGTCTCTTATTCTGACCCCAGTCCAACAACAACGTCTTTCGACCAGAGCCACACCTCCCCAGTCGGCGAGGGTTCCCTGCTAAACACAACCCCTGCCGTGGCCTCATCCTACCCAGCCTACCCACTCTCACCCGAATCGTGCCTCCCGAGCCCAGGCACGGCAACGACCCCCGGCGGCATTGGCTGGTCACCCCGCACCGTTTCAGTAGACTACGGCCTCAACCCATCTCAGTGGTACTCACTACCCTTTGAAGCTATCACTCCCCCAGCCGTCCCCCAGTCCACGGCTGCTCCAATGGCCCCTTCAATGAACGGCTACCTCCCTCAAGCCCAGCTCTACCGTCCCCAATACCATCACCACTACGAGATACCTGATTACACCCATGGTTATGATGCCAAGAACTGGAAGCGCGCTATGTCATTGCAGTATGATATGGCTGGTCATCTGGCTGCCCGGCCCGAGCACGATAGGAAGCATATACTCGCACACACACAGCTTCATGTCCAGCCGCATCCTATGGCATCACCCCCGCATACCCAACTCGATGGGCCTCATTGTGCTCCGATCATGCCGTATATGGGCTATGATAATTATGCGCAGAAGCCTCCGGGAGTTGGATACTAAGTGGTAGCCTGCACTGGCGCTCTTGGTCTGTTAAAAACCTGTGATACCTGGTTGCATTGTTACCTTGATACCTTGATACCTTTTGTGTAATATGGGTGGTTTGTTTGGGTTTGGGGGAGTTCGGATGAAAAAGAAACCATGTATATTGATACCTATGGATTAATTGACGATACTAAATCATGTGTATCTCCACTTTTTCCTACTTGTGTATGGAAAAGGTATCTGTACAGTTTGAAGTTCTTTACCTCGTTCATCTAGAAAAGACATCATCGGAATTTCGTGTAATGCCCCAAATCTTGAGCTAAGCACATCGGATTGTTAAAGACGTGCGTTGTCAACGATGATTTACATCAATATCAAATATAGAAATGTACAAATAGACACATTGCTCTACAAATGCCAAGACCCAATCAGTTACCCGAAAAGGGACCTCGGTATCTCACGGGAAAAACCCCATGTCTCAGCCCTTCCAGAGCTCATTTTGTTTGAATCTCTTCCCTTCTATCTCTCCACTCAAATTTAGAACCTTTCATCTCAATCTCAATCTACATCCCCACTACCGCCAAAATGCGTGCCGTCCAAGTTAGCGAATACGTCCAAGTATCTATAACCAACCCCCAAACTTCAACCCCAACATAAACCAACCACTCCTTACAGGGACCCCTAGATTTAAAAGTAACAACAGTTCCAACCCCAACCCCAGAAGCGGATAAATACCTCATCAAAATACACTTCGCCGGCACAAACTTTTTCGACATCCTCCAAATCCAAGGCAAATACCAAAACCAACCACCGCTCCCCTGGATCGGTGGCGCCGAATTCGCGGGTACAATCACCGCCGTGCCCACCTTCGCAAACACCCGCTACAAACTCGGTGATCGTGTCTTCGGCGCTACACAAGGAGCCTACGCAACACACGTCCTAGCCGCAGAGCAAACCCTCCTCCCTGTGCCGGAGGGGTGGAGCTTCGAAGATGCCGCAGGGCTGTTTGTCACGGCGCCGACATCATATGGCGGTCTTGTTCAGCGTGCTGGCGTGAAGGCCGGGGACTGGGTTCTTGTTCATGCTGCTGCGGGTGGAGTCGGACTTGCTGCTGTGCAGATTGCCAAGGCTATGGGGGCGACTGTCGTTGCTACTGCAGGAACTGAGAGGAAGAGGGAGATTGCCAAGGGTTTCGGAGCGGACTATGTGGTAGACTATACGGATAATGCGTGGCCGGAGGTTGTGAAGGGGATTTGCAAGCAGAACAGGAAGGGAAATGGGGCTGCTGGGGTGGACATTGTTTATGATCCTGTTGGGATGATTGAGATGAGTTTGAAGTGTGTGGCATGGAATGCACGGTTGTTGGTTGTCGGGTTTGCGGCAGGGAACATAGAGAAGGTTGCGCTTAATCGGGTGCTGTTGAAGAATGTGAGTATTGTTGGCTTGCATTGGGGGCAGTATGCCAAGTTCGAGACAGAGACTGTTGGTGAGGTTTGGCAGGGGATCTTTGACCTTGTTAAGCAGGGGAAGTTCAAGGGGACCGCATTCAAGGATGAGAGCTTTGTTGGATTGGAGAGTGTGCCCAGGGCTTTGCAGGCGTTGGGTGGGAGGGAGACTTGGGGCAAGGTTGTTGTGAACATTGTTGGTGACGCGAAGAGCAAGTTGTAGCCTATGAAGACAGATAAAAATGTGTGAAAGTAATATAATCGATTCGATATAAACTGAAAGATGTAGATGCGCAAGGAGTCATGCTCTCGTAGACAAAGTGAAATCCCCGAAGGGAAAGACTCGAGCAAGTATAACATGAACTATGAAGGCCCTTTGATTGCTCTGGCAACTTTTGTTTTTCAAAGATGAGCAAAAGCACCCGAAGGTACCCAGCTCGCAATCCAGCTCCAGTCGGTCACGGCCACAAGACGTAGCGCTGTGGTGACTGTTCTCCAGAAGGAGAGCCCTTGAGTATGTCCAAATGGACTGGGACAGCTGGATTGATGAGTTGCGGATGTCAGAACGTGTCTAAAGTTTGATATATACCTGCGATTCGGTTAGTGTAGAGTTCTGTATTCATAGGCACCATAAATCAGAATAACATTAAATTCCAAGGAAAGGTCTGAGTGTCCAGAGAGTGTCGCAGAGAAGCGTAAAAAAAAATGTTGAGGAAAAGAAGAAAAAAAGTGGGAAAAAGTGGCGATGACTCAGCATGTCTATACCGCCCAACTTCCGCCATGCATGGGGTAGATCGCCCAGTTGTGCTCCATCAAGGCTTTTTGTCTTGTATTCAACTTGGCTAAAGACGCGATGTGTACTAGCAAAAGACAGTGATGCACACGAGCTAGCATAGCTCTTTTAAAAATGATCATTTCACATTGCAAGATATGCAGACAATAACATATAGCCAAATTACGTCTGGATAGCGCTCTATAATCAGGTATTTTCTATCCATTTTTCTAATAGTCTTTCTGATTCTTTTTGCACCGTGGACTTGTCGTGGAACATTTTACATTGCCATTGACGAGAGGGTTGTCTCTGTTAGCGTTAGATATGGGGTTCGTGCTATTGGGTTTCCACTTATCAGCAGGCAGTCCAACCCCCAATACGTCAGCAGCTATCTCCATGGACCTGGTGGTATGAGATGGTAACGCGCTGACTCTGAATGGGCTTGCGGGAATCCGTGAGGTTAGTCTTCAACCTGTTGGTCGAACCTTTTGCTCAAATGTGCTACATTACTTGTCTAGCTCCATGCCTCGGCTTTTCAGGCCATCGGGGTGTTCAAGCCGATGTGACGGACCAGATTGGCACCTTCATGTCCACTTTCGCCTTTCAGCCTCCAGATTTGTCGCTCCTCCAGAAGAACATCTTTGATGCTACAGCGTTGACCTTTAGCTTTGGCACTTCTAAGTTGTTCAATATCGGTATGTTACTACTTCTAGCCCCCAACCCAACAGTATGCGAGATCTAATGTTTACCCAGCCTTTAAGCAAATGGAGAATGTAAATGCCAAAGCCATTATAGCGGGTATTATGGGATCGATCTTTGGTATAGCCCACTTCTTCTTACAAGGCAATAACAAAAGGGAAGGAGCTATAGGCGAAGTTATAAATAACATTAACCTCAACGGTACGAGCAAGGATGCGACGGCGACAATACTCTAAATGCTAAAGCGACTTCTGGTTGTAAACTCATGGCATCATGACCTCGCGGCCATGGTGATCTAAAAATTCACAAGGAACTTCCACTTTCTTCTTCTTCTTCTCAGCCCTCTCGACCACCATCACTTCGCAGCTCCCATATCATTATACTATGGGAAATTCCCAGATCTCAGATTTGAGATCTGGCCTCTGATTGGTCGAGATATTTGCCGGTCACAGACCAGCCCTAACCCAGTCATGTGACTAGTAAATGGTGGGTGGGATAAAATTGACATTAGGCAAGAGTTTCCATTACGGTGTGGTAACTCAACACCCGAAGGGGGTGGGGTAACTTGGCGAGGACCGGGTATAGCATAGTTAGCTACTAATATAGTATAATTACTAATGTAGCTACAGGCCCTTCCGTAGGCCTTATTCAAAGCGGATTAGATTTGTCTCCGCTTCGCTCAGCAAATCATTACCCGTACGCGTATCCGCCCCCGGCGGTCGCTTACGGGTGACTGGTATTACTGTGACGATCTGGGAGGATTTCTGCCGGAAGTTTCCGTCTTGACGAGGTTTGTATTGTTTGATTGTTGGATCGTGACAGGACCCCATTAAAGGTTCCTGTCTCGCAGGTTTCTTTCTTTCTTTCTTTCTTTCTTTCTTTCTTTCTTCTTCTTTCTCTGTACTTAGTATTCTCGTTGAAATGCACTCTTTTGTTCAAAGAACTGGCTGGTAACAATTACTAGATAGGAGTCCCTTAGCTATTAGGAAGTAATAACCGCTACTAAGGGGGGTATTAGCTTTGCTCTACATAGCCCATTTATAAATCTTCTTAGCCAACTTAATCTCCCTTAGTATCCTCTGATATAGGGTTTCGTAGGCGCCATCATAGATTTTTATATTAATCTCAAAATCTTATAGAGTTCCGCCAGCGAAACTTCGATTAAGGACAAGCTATTACTTCTCATTTATAGGAAAGAAGGGAGAGGACCGGACCCTACTCCTTATCCCTATTTCTAGAGCTATCCCTAGAAAGCTGCTTAGTTGTTCAAGTTACTTTTAGACTGCGACATCGCCCGTCCATGGGCACTAGGAAGTGTCCACGGCTCGTGGGCCTTTTGAAATCTGACGCCCATCGCCCACTGTTATGCAAAAACAATGCAAAAATCACCTTATTAGGCTATTTATGTACATAATTAGTTCTTGGAAGTATCCACTTTGCCAAGAGTGCCCGCATATGTCTTGGCGACGCTAAAAGTGTCTCCACTTTAATGGGCGTTGTCGCAGTCTAGTTATTTCAAACTAATAGCGCTATAGCTTTTTTAATAATTTCTATTCGCTAGTTAAGTTTTTTGAGTCCCTGTTGTTTTATCACAGACAAACTATGTGCGCTACTATATATGTTGGTCCTGGGCATGTCAGAGCTCTCGCTCTGATATAATGATCTTTTGGCGCCGAGCGGAAGAATGTGCGCCCAGGCATATCTTCACATATATTTTTTCTATAAAATACGATTTATTCCCCTTCGGAATGTTAAGTTTATGCTACTGTATAGATTGACTAAATTAAATTATAAATATCTTACCTATCCCCTTATTTTTCGTAGTATTTGGT